GATGCCTGGTCCTCCCCATGCCGTTACCCCCCCCACCCCGGGACAGCACCAGGATGGCCCCCGCACCGTCACCCCCGGCACAGGGGTCTTCTCCCAGTACTGGGATGGCCCCCGCACCATTACCCCCGGCACAGGGGTCTTCTCCCAGTACTGGGATGGCCCCCGCACCATTACTCCCGGCACAGGGGTGTTCTCCCAGTACTGGGATGGCCCCCGCACCATTACCCCCGGCACAGGGGTGTCCCTCCAGTCCTCCAGTACTGGGATGCCCCGGCCCCCCCCAGCATTCCCACCCAGGACAGGGATATTCTCTTGGTACTGGGATGCCCTCCCAGTACTGGGATGCCTGGTCCTTCCCGTGCCATTGCCCTCCTGGGACAGGTGTGTCCTTCCAGCACCAGGATGTCTCCTGCACCATTACCCCCCCAAGGACAGGGATGTCTTCCCGGTACTGGGATGTCCCCATACCATTACCCCCAGAACAGGAATGTCCTTCTAGTACTGGGATGCCCCCCATACCATTCCCCCCCAGGGCAGGGATGTTCTCCTGGTGCTGGGATGCCCCCACTGCTGTCACAGGGAAGGGAGCCCAGGCTCTGGGCCAATGGCCCTGGGGTGATGGGTCCCTGCTGGCCTGGGTCCCCTGCCCCAGCAGGACAGTCCCCTCGGTGTGGGCACCAGGGATGCTGAGGTCTCTGTCCCGCTGGCAGGGAGGGGAGTGGGTGGCTCTGCTGGTTGGATGTGATGGGATGGAGGGAGGGATGGCAACGCTGGACTCTGGCCCAGAGCGGGGAGCTCGGCCATCCCCAGGGACGCTGGCTGCACACACTGAAAATGGGTGCCAGCATTACCTGGTGCACAGGGTGAGTGGAGCACCTTCCCCAGCTCGCCCTGAGATCAGAGCCAGCCCGCGGACTTTGTCACACAAGGTGACAGCCTGGAAAGCAAAAAAGTGCCAGTTCGCTTCCGCTCAGATCTTGCTCAGAAGCCCTCTCCTCCGCAGGGTTGGAGGGACCTCGCTCCGGCAGATGCAGGGCTGGAGGGGACCCGTGGCCAGTGTCCACGCTCCTGGGGAGGTCTAGACCTCTCCGACAAGCTGGTGTGATCCCAGAGGACTCGGGAAGCTTCAGCTTGGGGTTCCCCAGTGCAGTGGCATCCACAATGTCACCCAGGGGACACCTGGTCATGCTCACCATGGCCAAGGGCAAGCCTGCAGGAGGGAGACCTTAATATCACACCCACCCACTCTTACCCCAAGGGACAAAGAGGTTTTGGAGCCCCCTGAAATTACAAAATTAAATATGTGAAGATATCAGTAAAGCTTTGCATCGGTGGCTCTAAAGCGTATACTGAGGCAATAGGGTCAATCTGGCTTTTATATGGACGTGGGCTGTGAAATCCTCAAGGAGGGGTGAAGAGCATCACCAGGGAGGTGTGACGTGGCATCGCTGAGCCGCCTGTCCCGAAGCATCCCTGCCTCTTGGCATTGCATGCGTCTCGGCAGCCTTCGGGAGCACGAAGCGGCTGGGTGCCGGGCTTCCCCCATCCCAGGCGCCCACCCGTGGTGGGCAGTGCTCGCTGGCATCCTGCTGGCCTGGGGCTCTCCGAAAAATGGCCAAACTGCCCAGCAGGAGCAGTAGCGAAGGCAGATTCACCACGGTGGTGGGAAACATCTCTGGGGGTTAATTACCCTCATTGGCAGAGGTGCTTTCTGCTGCCCTAATTGGAGCCTGCCCAGCCTTGGACAGCCGTGGGCTCATGGGGACGGGGGCACCCGTGGGAAGAGGCTGCTGGCGGAGTGGCTCTGTGTCCCGGCACAACTCTGGGCTGCTCCTGTCCATCTCCAAAAGCTTAAGTCAAGAGAGAGCTGCCGGCCTCAGGCTGGTCCTGGGGATGCTCCAGCGCGGGATGCCTCCAGCCCAGAGAGGAGCGTGGCCGGGAGCCCCGGGCTGGTGCTGGAGATGTGTCCACAGGGGGGTAGCGTCCTGGCATCTGCTTTCCTTCCCAGCACTCATTCCCCTCCTCTCTCTCCCCTCAGATTTGGACAGGGCCGGGAAACCCAAGCCGAGCCGGGCCAGGCTGGGCCAGAAGCGGCAGCACGGCAGCAGTCTGTACCAGTGAGTGCCAGCACGAGGGGCAGGGGCTGCGCCGGGGGGGACACCAGTTTGGGCTGGGGACTGTCCCACGCCTGGCTCCTCTTCCTCCCCCCTCCTCTCCATTGCTCACTCCTCAGGCTACTCCAGCTGCCTGCCCACAGTGGTGGACATGGGTCCACGCAATGTCCCTGCCCCATCCCGATGGGGCTCTCGGAGCATCGCCTGCCTGCACCGGCAGTGGCTGGAGTCCTCGCTGGGTCCTGCCCGGTGTGCATTGCCGGTGGGGTGTGGAGATCCCCCTTCCCCATCTGAAGGCTCTGGGAGAAGAGCAGAGCCCCAAGGCCTCCCTGCCTGTTACAGATGTTGGTGTTGGTTGCAGTCCTGGCCTTTCAGTGCTGTTCCTCGGGGGACAGGCACCCCTGCAGGGGCACGGCGCGTGGTGATGGTCCTCAGGATGCCTATAGATGATGGTGGTGGTAGCACCGATGGCAGCAGAAGAGCAGGTCCCCATCTCTGCGTGCCTTTGGCTCACTGGCTCGGGAGGCGCGTGGTGAGGGGACCAGGAGCTAGGCTCCGTCTGTCTCATTAGAGAGCTTTTTGCAAACGCCCTGATTGAACTAATTGCTCTGCCAGTTGCCATGGCGCCGGAGGGATGCAGCGCTGGCAGGGCAGGGACCGCCGGTCCCCCCGGGCCGCTGGAGCGTGGCAGCCGCTGCATTTGCTCTTCCCAGGGGATGCTCTGAGCCAAGACCTGAGCTGGGAACACCCTTGCTGTGTCCCTAGCTGGGTGCCAGACCCCAAGACCAGGTCTCCTGTGGAGTCACCAGTGCTCCCATGGCGGGAGGTGGCCAGTGACATCCCCGTCCTTCTCAGCAGTGGCTCCAAGGAGCAGCAGCCGCCATCGGAGCTGGCACCTTCCCTGTGCCCTGTGCGTGGGTTGGGCCTCCTCTCCAGCTGCCCATTCCCCTCTTCCCCAAGGCAGGCTGTGACCTTCCTCCCTGGGTGACGGGCGGGAGGTTGGGGATTCGAAGGACTTGCCATCCCCATCACAGCAATGGAAACTGGCAGTGAGGCTGGACTGAAAGCTCCCAAAATATCCTCGGGTGCAAAGAGCAGGAGCAGGCGGGTCCTGGCACCCCAGGGCTGCCAGCTTGCCCTTACCGGGAGGGCTGGCACAGGGCTGCGGGTGCCTTTGCTGCCTGTGATGGCCTCCAAGCTGCTTCCCAGGTTGCCTATTAGCCCCCCCAGCAGACCTTCAGCTCTCCCCAAGCGCCAGCATCGGTCCCATGGCGACAGGCTCATCTGTGGCAAAATCTGGAGCCCTGGAGGACCTTGTCCTGGTCCCCCCCGTTCCTGGCAGTGTGGTTGGGGAAGGCTCCCCTCTCCCAGCGACACTGAGCATGGCTTTGTCTCCCCTTGTGTTAGGCTTAATCCTACGCTCCCTGACTCCGCAAGAGCTGAAGCAGCAAAATGAGCTTCAGCATCTTTCCTCCTCCTCCTCCCCCCTGGCTCCTGGTCCATGGCGCATGATTTATTACCGGCACATCGGCTGCCCGCATTGGAGGCGATCCATTGACAGATTGCTTCTTAATTGGGAGCTGAGCAAGCCGGCAGCGTGCGCGCGGAGCCAGGGACCATGAAATTTAACATCAGTGCGCTCTAAATGCAGCTTCCCAAGAGCAGAGCCTGCTGATGCTGCCCCGGGGGTGCTCTCCAGCCCACTCCACACCCTTGCTTGGCTCCAGGGCAAGCCCCTGCCAGGGCACAGCCACCTCCCTGGGCTGTTCTGCAGCCCAGGCAGCTCGAGCGGTCCCCTCCAGGATGCTTCCTGCTCCCTGGGGATGGACGCTGGGTGGGTGCCCTGCTGTGCCCGGCCATGGCTGTGCCACAGTGTCTGTGGCCCTGTGGAGCAGCTGACTTGTTCTTCTCTCTCCCCTGGCTCCTGCAGCAGTAACTGCGACCTGGACTACGATCTCTACAGGGACGAATTCCCATACCGGTGAGCACAGCATCCCAGGATGGGCTGAGCGGACGTGGGTTTGACGTGCGGTCGCGCCTCTGCCGAAGGAGAAAAGCGGGGTGACCCTGGGCATCTGTCCCCTCACCTTTGGGAGAGGCTCAGTGGCGTTGCTCCCTTAGCGGGGCGCGGATGCCACAGCCTCCCTGGGCTGGGGGCCTTGGGGATAGGGTTCACAGGGCAGGGGCAGCGTGTGGGCTGGGCAGTGTCCAGGCTGGGGGTCCTTAACTCCAGAGGGAACCCCAGGGATGCTCTCCTGGCTGGCAGGGCCTGGGGCTGTGCTCACACCACCATGCCCTTGTGCCCTTGCAGGGTGTACGAGTACCAGAAGATCCCCCCCCTCATTAACCGCATCCCAGTCAAGGCCAGACGAACTCATGTGGGAGCGGGAAGCAAAAGCAGCCTGAGCCCCCAGCCCGGGGCAAGGAGCAGCACCAGCTCCACAGCGGGACGGACGAAGCGTAAGTGCAATGGGAGGAAGAGGAGGCTCAGCCCTCACGTCTCAGCACAGTGCCAGCGCTCGAGGGTCCCACTCGGTGCTGACCTTGTTGCTACGAGTCCCTGGCTCCAGCAGATGCAGCCTGAGCTGGTGGCTGTCCTCTGGACCCTTCCCCGATCCCTGAGGATGCCTGGTGGGGAGGCTGCTGCGGAGGCGGCTGCCCAGGACTGGGGGTTCCCCCAGCAGGCTGGAGGGCAGGGTGGGATCCTGACGCCTCCTCTCCCCACAGTGCGGGCCGAGGAGCTGCACTCCATCAAGGGGGAGCTGAGCCAGATCAAGGCGCAGGTGGACAGTCTGCTGGAGAGCCTGGACCGCATGGACCAGCGGAGAGAGCGTCTCGCGGGTGAGGGGACAGGACTGTGGACCCTCTGACACCCATGTGTCCGCGCTGGGACACCTTTGTGGGTGCCTGCGAGCCTGGACCCCGATCCAGGTGTAAGGGGTACCCCCCCGCATGCCCAAGAGGGAGCTGAGCATCCAGAGCTGGCTGTGCAAATTCCCTGCGTCCTCCCCCTTCTCTGGGCTGGCAGGGCAGAGTCTGTGCCCTTTGGCACAAGGGGACCCTGCGAGGACAGGGCTGATGTTTGTATGGGTACCCCAAATTTCTGCTGGCTCTGTCCTCGCAGGGTCCAAGGAGAGCGAGAAGAAGAGGGCAGAGGCAGGGGCACAGTCGCCGTCCCCAGCGGGAGAGGGGTTACGGGAACCCCGGGGCAAGGAGGGGACGGGAGCTGACGGGCACAGCGACCTGCGCAACATCGACAGCACCGAGGAGAGCACAGACACGGAGGAGACGGTAAGAGGAGGGCCAGATCCTGCGCCGGGCTCTCTGCTTTCCTGAAACTCATCCCCACTTGCTGCCGCCTGGGTCCTGGTGGGGATGCCTGGAGCAGAGATGCTCCATCAGGGTCCCCCGAGCCGTCCCGGCTGCATGCTGGGGCTACAACCGCCCGTGCCACTGGGACAGCCCCCAGCACCCTGCAGCAACCCCCTGAGTGTGCATTAATCCAGCAGCTCAGGCTGCAAAAAT